GGCTGACCTTTACATTCCAGAACCCTTTTCTCTTCTACTTCTCCATTAAAACCCATCCCTACCGTACATTTCTTTCACGCTTTCTGTCATCCACTCTGCCCCACCTACACAAACAACAAAAGCAAAATTGTTCCTTCAGTCGTCATTTTGAACCAATAATGATTTCTTTATGTGGCCATGTGGAAACAGTCATTTTTTACATGTATGTCCACTGATAAACAGATGTAAGACAATCGATAAACTAACAAAGTGTGTGTGTGGGGGGGGGGAGACAGGAGGCAGAATTGTCCTTTTAGAATCAAAAGTTCTAAATGGCTTCCTGAAACAGTCAATCTTGCTCCGTTCAGCCTTTTTTGCCACATTTAAAAGTATGAATATACTTGTAGGGGAAAAACACTTTGTCAGAAGTGGATTACCATCACTCATATTATGTAACAATGAAGATTTGTTTGTTTTTACTGTTCTGACAAAGAAAATTATAAATAAAATCAAGTAAATTATGTCAAAATAATTGTTTAATTAGCTGCTAAGTCAAATTGTCGCTACCAAAAAAGCTAAAGGAGCATAATGCTAGCTGAAAGCTAAAAGTAGCAAAAGCCAAGGTAAAACTTGGAAGTAGAAAACACTGGCTTGAAATTAAAAGCTAAAGAAGCATATTGCTAGCTGAAAGGCAAAATTAGAAAAAGGCCAGCTAAACATGATAAATGAGCTACAAGCTACAAGTAGCAAGTTGGTAGCTAAATACTAAAAGTAGCAGACCACTAGATAACAAACCGCAAGGCTAGATAGAAGCTAAAGAAGTAAAAAGCTATCTGAAAGCCAAAAGTAGCAAATGGCTAGCTAAAATTAGCAAAATGGCAGCTAAACATAAATGAGCTACAAGCTAAAAGTAGCATATTAGTAGCTAAATACTAAAAGTAGCAGACCACTAGATAACGAGCCACAAGGCTAGATAGACACTAAAGAAGTAAAAAGCTATTTGAAAGCCAAAAGTAGTGAATGGCTAGCTAAAATTAGCAAAAGGTCAGCTAAACATATTAAATGAGCTACAAGCTAAAAGTAGCAAATTAGTAGCTAAATACTAAAAGTAGCAGACCACTAGATAACAAACCAAAAGGTTAGATAAAAGCTAAAGAAGTAATAAGCTATCTGAATGCCAAAAGTAGTGAATGGCTAGTTAAAATTAGCAAAAGGTCAGCTAGTAAATGAGCTACAAGCTAAAATTAACAAATGGGTAGCTAAATACTAAAAGTAGCAGACCACTAGATAACAAACCAAAAGGCTAGATAAAAGCTGAAGAAGTAATAAGCTATCTGAATGCCAAAAGTAGCCAATGGCTAGCTAAAAGAAGCAAAAGGTCAGCTACAAGCTATAAATCTCAGCAGCACTCATTGCTACCAGTGCAACCTCCAAAAAAAATTTTTTTTAAATAAAAAAAAACAGGTAATAGTTTTGAACTTTCAGCCTTTTTATTTCACCAAATATGTTCATGTAAATTATTATCGGGTCATATTTACAGGGTTATTGTGAAAAGAACATTAGATATTATTTTAAGAGGCAGTTTAATTTTTGATTTGTTAATGCATCATATTTTATAGCAATACAAATGGAAAGATTTTCTGCTTGAGAGGTTTGCAGCATGGGAATCATTAATTAAATAGAGTTTACTCAAAGGCATTTTAGATCATTTACTGTTTGAGTAAGTAGATTTTAACGAGTTTATTTTATTTATTTTTTTGGTCACCCATATTGTTAGGGAGTAGTAACTTTACAACTTGACCCAGGGACGTTCAGTGATTAAAAAGTAATAAACATCCAGAAAATGTAAAAAATCTTATTTCTAGCAGAACAATAAAAATCACACAAACCACACAATGAAATAGAGGGTGGAGAACTTAATGGTAACATCAAGGCATGATAAATATGCTCCTCATAGTTAGCATCAATTTTGTAAAATGGAAAATCTCATATCCGTAACGAAAAATATTCCAAGAATCTGAAAATTAAGATTCATTCCTTGAAAACCACTTGTATAACTAAAGCCACGTTTTATTTATGAGTTTTGGACCACTTTATTTTCAGTCCTCAGATATGGGATGATAGATTCTAAACTATGGTCCTGCACCATAAATTCAAGGATGGTTTAATAACGTCATCAAACCTGGAATCGTACTTGTCTCACAGTGTGGCCTGTACTGCACCTATGGGACTACTCAAGTTAGAGGTTTTTTTTGGAACATTTGCCGCCATTTGTCAGATGAACTCAGATTTAAGATTTTCCACTCTATAGAGCTCATGCAGCTTGTGTCAGGGAATCACATGACCTGTTCCTCAAGTTGTAACGCAAGATTCCGTTGTTACCGTATTTTTTGGACTATAAGGCGCACTTAAAATCCTTTTAATTTTCTCAAAAATCGACAGTGAACCTTGTAATCCAGTGCACCTCATGTATTAATTCTGATTGCGCTTACTGACCTTGAACCAATTTTATGTGGCACACAACGCTCAAAAATCTGTTAAAACAAACTTATTTCACTTAATGCACCTTATAATCCGGTGCGCCTTATGTAATAGACCAGTTCATTGATATTGCGCCTTGTCTAGGGGCCGAGATGGTGTAGGGGCAGGGCAGCCGACTGGAGACCCGAAGATCCTGGATTCGATCCCCTGTCATTGCACATCTCGTGGTGTCTCTGAGCAGGACACCCAATCCCGAATTGCTCCCCGGGCGCTTACATAGCTGCCCACTGCTCCACCTGGGTGTACCCCAGGTACGATGGGTTAAATGCAGATAGCCAATGTTGTCTTTGTATGGGAACATACAATGATGACAAAACATAGCACTTTATTTATTTTATTATTTATTTATAATTCGGTGTGCCTTATAGTTTGAAAAATATGGTACTTTGTAGCAATGCTGTGGGTTTCTTTTTTAAAGTTTGATTTTTTTTTTTTTTCCTTTGAAACCATCAGAATATATTTTTCGTGCTTGGCAATAGTCGGTACAAATTGTCAAGAGGAACAATCTTTGCTTCTAAAACATTGACCCGGAATGTGACATTGCTATTACAAATAAAATAGTTTTGAGAGGTCATCAGATTGGCATTAAACTTAACTAGAGGAAGTGGTAACAAGTTTCCTGGTATGGTCTTAAATTCCCAGTCTCCTGCCCTCCCATCTTTTGGGTAACTTGACTCTGGTCCCCTGTCTAAGGTAAGATTGCCTTTACAATGCAAGTCAACCTGCCTGAACCAGACACTAGTCTAGGCCTGGGGACCCACCTAATACCTCTGTGTCCCTCTGACTGTCTTCATCTTAAAGTCCAAGTTCCCAGGCATCCTGATTGATGAAATTTGGCAATGAGATGTGTTTGGGGGTTTGGTATGAGACAATGTGCAGCTTCCTCACATTCCAAGCTTAAACCTTGGAATTTGTTCTCCAGTGCAAAATGATGGTCAGGCCTTTGCTTGATCATTTCTAGAGAGTCAACTGTGTGTGCTTACATTATCCATCCATCCATCCATCCATTATCTTTACCCGCTTCTTCCTTTTTGAGTCGCAGTGGTCACTGATGCCTATGTCTAACTATCACTGTGCGAGAGGCTGGAGGATACCCTGGACAGGTCTCCAGTGACCAATAGAGACAAACAAGACAAACAACCATTCACTCTCTCACTCACACCTAGACAATTCAGAGTTACCAATCAGCCTAACATGCATGTTTTTGGTCTGTGGGAGGAAACCGGAAAACCATGAGAAATCCCATGCATGAACAGAAAGAACATGCAAACTCCACCTAGAAAGATCCCGGGCCGGGATTTGAACCGGCGATTTTCTTGCTGAGAGGCAACAGCTCTTACCAGTCACCATGCCGCTGTGCTTATGTTAAATGCAAGTAGCTGTACACAACACATAGCAGAATAAAGCCTTGATTACATCCCTGTACAAGGTTCATTGGCACACCTACGTAGAAATTAGATTTTGCCTTTGTGTTGTTCTACAACATTCATAAACATAAGATTTATCTGTATTTTTAATTCTCTCTCACTGCAAAACTGGATTATTTCCTTATTTCCATGTTGTCCCCTCCTAACAAACCTGCTTTCCCAAAACTTTTCTTCCTGTCATGTCATCATCCTCCAATATCACCCCCCTCCATCATCAGACTTCTGTAGCGTGTAGAGCAGCCAAGAGTGATTGATCTGGTGCGGAGGCTGTCTCAGACCCGCCCCCTCCTCCTCCTCCTCCTCCAGTGGTTATGAACATGAGGCTGGCTGCTCTTCATAGATTTTTAAATTAGTGTCAGCTTTGCCCCAAAGATGTGTTATTGACTGATGAAATAGAAACTGAGCTCCAAACATTCAGTCCTTCCCCAGAGTTTTCCCCAGCCGGGTAATTGAAAAAGTGTGAAGGGAGTGTGTTCAAGGCAGAGTGCAACCCCGTGATGTGTGTGTGTGTTTGTGATTTTAGCTGTTTGTGTGTGCTCTTTATCTCTGCTGAAGAAAAATGCACCGTGCTTGCCAGAGTCAAGGCTCGATTGAAGTATTGCATAGGAGATCTTTATCTTTCTACACAGCCACCCTGAAACATGAGAATTGTGTACAACTTTAATCCAATAAATACAGGATGTAAGCCTGCAGAGGAACAGTTAGTAAAAGGTAAAGTGTTTGAACACCACTGCTGGCTTAATCACTGAGCATGCACAACCTTGTGTGATTTGTTTGTCACTGTGGCTCTGTCACAAAGAGTTCCTGGAAGATGTACCAACCTTGGATAGTTGTAGCAAGTCTTTTTTTGTCCTCAAATCAACTCAAAATTAAAATAAAGTAATTTTACCCACATTTCATTACAATAACAACTCTAATCCTCACATAATTATTAAGATGTGGAGACATATTAGCAGAAATACATGCAACCGGCCAAATAAAAGAAAAGTTGTGAAATAATCTCGCTTTGCTTCTGCCTGTAATTAACCTTTGGTATAATCGTTTTCTCTGCAGGGTCAGACATGGCCATCTTTTGCCTTCTCTGTGGGAAGCGTTTCCAGACTCAGACAGCACTGCAGCAGCACATGGAAGTGCACGCCGGCGTCCGCAGCTACATTTGCAGTGAATGCAATCGAACTTTCCCCAGCCATACTGCACTCAAACGTCACCTCCGCTCGCACACAGGTCAGTGGAAACACCCATTATCCATCTTTACTTTGACGAGGCTTTGACTCTTTTACAGAGTTTTAATCATTGTAGTCTGTTTTGCATGTTGCATGTGTGGTTTCTAACCTAAGCACAGAAGACTCACATTCTGAAGTTTGATCCTTCTCTCTACAGTAAATAGTACTAAATGCTATAAGTAATAAAGTAAGTAATGTTGGATCATTTAAATTAGTTTTTCTGGACTTCAAGGTTCATCGTACTTTATTGTCATTCGCATCACGTGGTACATGAGGTAGAACGAAACTGTACTCAAGGTCCCAGTTACACCCAAAAATAGCAAAATTATAAAGTATAAAAAGAAACAGTATACAAGGATGTAAGCTATGCACAAAGATATACACTAAACAAATGCTAAATACACTAAAAGATCTAAGATAAACACTAAACACTAATAATGTAAAATAGGGATGCACAATATTATCGGCATGGTATCGGTATCAGCCAATGTTAGCGATAAAGTTAAATATCGGACATCAGCCATTCCATCAAAAAACTCTGATATAAAAGCCTTCTGTTTTAAGTTATTATTTAATTTAAGAATCTGTCAAGTATATCTTTTAATGCTCTACTACTTATGTGCTTTTCACTTGTCGCTTGTGAACAGGTTGAGTTTAGATTTGTGACAATTTACAAACTTGCACTGTTCAAATGTTGTCATTGTGTTAGAGAGAGTAAATGTCATGAATACATTTGACATTAAACATAATCCTAGTTGAAGTGTTACATCACTTTCATCCCCCTTTTTGACATCTGCGTTTGGTATCAGGCCAAACTGACAAAGACTATGCAGAATAATGTAGTATTTTAATTCCACAGCAGAGAAAGCTATGTAGTCTCTGTAAGTAAGTCTAGGGGGAAAAATATTGGTATTGGTATCGGCCAAATAAGTTTTAACATATCGGCATATCGGATACCGGCCAAAAATCCAATATTGTGCATCCCTAAATAATAAGGTATATTAAAAAGCAGCCCGAACATGAATCTGTAGTGAGCAGATGGGTATGAATACAGCAGCATAAAGGCAAGAGATCAGCAGCATGGTTAATCAGCAGCACAGATAAGTCACATATGACCAATCACCAATTATTTGATCCTGTAACACAAAATATATTTAGTGCAAAGACAATGAGAGACCTACACAAACTAAACCACTGCAACTACTTCAAAATGACATAAACCATTATGACTACAACTCAGTCCTTTCTCAACACAAGATACTCTTAGTCTAAAACTACGGCTTGAAAAGTGGTGGGCGATATGCATTCTTCAAAGGAATTTCTATACGAGCCACTGCCACACACTCATTTCTGTGCCCATCCAGAGCTTAGGCTGAACTGTAAAGAATAAAATTCAAACTGACTGAAAAATCAGGAGCTTGGTCTGTGAGCCTTTTATTCCACTGAGGTTTTTTCAATTACCTTTGACACCCAACCGCCTGTCTGCGACCTTAAATAACAGTCTCACTGTCAGAGCTGGTTTAGCTCACCAGCTCACGGATAAATATTTGAAACGAAAGGCAGTGAGATGAGAGCAGTCGGCCCTATTTACAAGTCAGGCGAATACGCCATTAGTGTGTGATGGTGCTTGGAGCTGTGGGGCTTTGGGGTTGGGGGAGGGTGGGAAGGACGTGGCTGCTCGAACCGTCTGTACAGTAGCGCACATCTGTTCCCCTCACCAGACAGCAAGGAGGACACATGCGGTGTCTCTGATCCACCTGCCCACCCTGGCGACGCAAATGTCACCTCGGCTCGTCGCCGCAGCTGCAGATGAGACTTTTCATCCACTTTGAAGCTCATCCCACCACAGGCACGTGTTAAATCACAATGAGGCGGCCATGAAAGCAACCGTTTAAATATGATGCCGAGCCTTTTGTCGAGGGATTATAAAGTCAGCTACTCATACAGCCGTCACGGAGGCCAGAAATAGCAGGTCCTAATTTACCCTCAAAATAAAAACTATAGAAGCTTAGTGTTCCTCTACATTTACATTTTGTGAACACCAGTCAAATGTGACAGTGTAACAAAGTGGAAATGGTTTTTAAGACCAGACGGAGGTAGAAAGCTTATCCACCGTACTGAAACAACCCAATAACCAACCTGTTTAACGTTTACCACCTCACAGATTTTAGCGATGCATTGGATCACAACTATTTTTATTGCCTGCCACCAAATAATTAAAAGATATGTTTTTGCTCAATTGTGTGTGCTAATTTGTCTTTACTGTTAGCAGAATATCCCAAAATGGCTTTAACCTAACTGTTCTTACAGATATTGAGAGCTAAATCGTGGCATTGTAGTAGCTGACAGTAATTCACAATAAATACTCTTAAGTGTTAAGGGAGACAGGAATTTAAGGAGATGCAATCAAGAGCAAAGAAGGAGGTGGGAAAGACAAAACAGAAGGCATATGATGAGTTGTATGGGAGGCTGGACTCTAAAGAGGGCGAGAAGGACTTGTACAGATTGGTGAGACCGAGGGATCAGGCTGGAAAGGATGTGCAGCAGGTTAGGCTTGTTAAAGATAGGAATGGTAATGTTTTAGCAAATGATGAGAATGTAACAGGAAGATGGAAGGAGTACCTGGAGGAGCTAATGAATGAAGAAAATGAAAGAGAAAGAAGAGTAGAAGTCATGGAAACTGTGGACCAGGAAGTGGGAAAGATTAGTGAAGGTGAAGTTCAGAAAGCTCAAGGTTCAAGGTTCTTTACTGTCATTCGCTTCATATGTGGTACATGAGGTGAAATTAAATTGTGTACTCAAGGTCCCAGTTACACCCAAAAATAGCAAAAATATAAAGTGTAAAAAAAAACAGTATATAAGTATCTAAGATGTACACAAAGATATACACTAAACAAAGGCTAAACTACGCTAATAGATGTAAAATATATGCTAAACACTAATAATGTAAAATGATACGGTATATTAAACAGCAGCCCAAGCATGAGCCTATAGTGAGCAAATGGGTATGAATACATCAGCATAAAGGCAAGAGATCAGCAGTATGGGGGTTTCATTCTGAAATGAATGAAGAAGGGGAAGGCAGTAGGACCTGATGACATACCAGTGGTGGTTTGGAAATGTCTTGGCATTTAGGTTTCAGACTCAAATATTCAATGCCAAAAAGCCGAAGGAAGAAGAAGACTAAGTGTTAGAGGATCATGGGAAATATTCGAATATTGTAGGAGGATTTTAAGGTTTGACCAATAAGCCGATATGACATGCTCCAACATCAATGGTTTTAGTTTAAAGAAAAGGGAAGGCTGAGATTGTCATCATTGTATGTTCTCATACAATGGCAAAATTAGCTCTCTGCATTTAACCCATCACATGTGAGATACACCCAGGTGGAGCTGTGGGCAGCTATGTAAGCGCCCGGAGAGCAATTGAAGATTAGGTATTTTGCTCAGAGACACCACGACATGTGGGAATGGCTGGGAGTCGAACCAGGACTTTCTGGTCCCAGGTCGGCTGCCCTACCTCTATCCCATCTCGGCCCCAAAACGCTAACCTAAAAGGTGGCGGCCAATATGCATTTCTGTGGGCCTTTTATTTGAAAATGTGAACAAGTGTTTCAATTAACTGTTTTGTTTGTTGTGAGGCTAAATTAAAAACAAAGTGATAAAAATACAGAATAGCTCTTGTAGCTATGATTCAACACGTTATGAAAGCTTCTGACTAAGTAGAACTGGCTACAGATGAATTTTGGACTCATTCCATTTCTCAGAATAACCTGTCTTTTGTTATGTAGACGTTTAATTCCCCACAAATCCTACATCTTTAACGGGATCGTTGGAAAATAGAACTTCATTTGCTGAACAAAAAAAATATGATTTATTTAGGGCGCAAAAGTCGTAACTAAGACTTTGCACCTGACTGTATAACTGTCTGTTCTGAATTAGGACCTGATTTGGAGCTTGCCAGGAAAAATAAAAGCAAGTACATTTGGTTGCTATTTTTACTTTATTCCAACTGTTATGCTTTTTAGAGTGACTCATCGTGACAACTTTTAAAAATGGTGACACAAGATTAGAGTCAAGTACAGGTTTTAGTTAAAAACTCATATTTTAAAAAGCATTTGCTACAAATGCATCTTATTTCCCAGAAAATACAAAATATCACTGTGACAAAGCAATTGTATTGACATCTTAGCAAGGTGACTTGAGGTGTTCCTTTTAAGGAATAATTAAAAATAAAAATCAAGTCTTAACTTGGCTATTGTTTGGCATGTTGTTTTGGTAATTATCGCCTGCCACCAAATGCTAAGGCGAAGAAATAATATTTTTGTCCATGGCTGTGAGTGTGTTCATTTGTATAGTTAAAAAAAAAAACTCATTAATCACTGAACAGATTTTAATTAAACTTTCAGAAAGTTAGGGGAAGTGAACTTTATTCAAGATGGCTGCCACACAACTATAGGAAACATAAAAAGGCTATAACTCAGCCAATTTTACAGATACTAAGTTAAAATTTGGTGTGGTAGTAGCTGAAACTGATCCCTAACTGGATCTGAGTGCTAAGTGATTGTGCTAGGTTTGTGTTTAAAACATTGGCAGTAGCTAATCTAATCGACTTTGTCTGTCTTGGTAAAATATCTCATAAACCACTGAAATAATCATCGTATATTGCACTACGACTACTTCATATTCTTTAAAATTAACCACTTCAAGATGGCCACCACACCAAAATGACATAGAAAACACAAATGTAACTGTAATTCGCTCCGTTTTACACATGGCTAAAATGCAGCATAGTGGTAGCTGAGCGCCAACCCAAACACATACTCTTGTGTGAAAACTTGGAATATTGCATTGATTAGATCAATCATCTATTGTTATTTTAAGGTTTGAGCAAAACTGATACAACTTCCAAAATACAAGCTGAAAATAAGTTCAAACCTTGAGATGAAAGGAAGTGAGTGATTTGCGTTACTTCAGAGAAAGACTGGCTCTGTGCTCCGGT